CCCAGCACACTTGATAGTACTCATGTGAAATCTACAACAGGAACTTGTGTGAACAGAGGAATGGAACACGACATGGTTCAAAATCAGGAAAGGAGTGCATCAGAGATATAAGCTTTCTTCTTACTTTTAAAATCTATATGATGAACAGATCATACAGGAGGCTTGACAATATGAAGTATAATATAGCATCAGGATTGGAGGAAGACTCATCAACAATCTGAATTATGCAGATGACACAATCATGCTTGCTGAAACTATGGAGCACTTGCAGCATTTGCTGCAGAAGGTCAAGGATTCAGCCTTCAATATGGATTGTATCTCAACATTAAGAAAACAAAGATCCTCACCACCAGGCCAATAGGCAACATAGTGATAGATGGAGGAAAAAAATTGAGATTATTAAAAATTTCATCTTGGCACCAGTAGTCAGGAAATCAGAAGACAAGTCGCATTGGGAGAATCTGTTGTCAGAGAGCTCTTCAGAGTGCTAAAGAGAAACAGCACCAGTTTAGAGACTAAGGTGTGCCTGATATTGAGTATCTTATGGACTGCCAAAATAACAAACTGTCTGTCTTGGAGAACACGGAACCAGAGCATGATTTAGAGGCAATGATGATGAAACTTCTCACATACTTGTTAGAAGCCAGTACTTGGAAAAAAACCCTAGGACAGGTGGAAGAACACAGAAAGAGAAATGGATGGATACAGTGACTGTAACAATGGACCTGAGTATGGTGACATCATGAGGATTGTGCAGGATAAGGTAGGGTACAGGTCTGTTACTCACAGGGTTGCTAGAGTAATCCATTCAATGGCACCTAACAACACCAAGCAAAGCTAGAGGCAGCAAATCCCAACTTCATTCAGAGAGTTCTCTAGAGTGAAACTCATATTGATAGATTTAAAAAAAAAATACACATTTTAGGGGGACCTTCACCATAGGATTGCATAATTTGATGGGTGGAGGAAGGGATGGGTAAAGAAAAAGGGAAAAATACTCACAGCTGTGAGAATTTTTATATTAACTTTTTAGAAAGAAGTCTTTTCAAAGAAAAAAACTTACTTGTTCATTTTCTTTATCATGTATTTGCTTTCCATTTTATTGGTGTTTGTTTTCAGCTTTCATTAAGTTTAATTTGCTGTTCTTATTCTTGCTTCTAGAGATATAAGCTTTTATCATCAATTTTTCTGCCTGCATGAATAACCATTTAAAACTGTTGACTACTGTGTTAGTCTCAACCTAGAAATTATGATAGATTTATTTTCACTATTAAATTACAAATATTTTCTGATTTCTAGTATCTTATATTCTCTGTCACACAGGTAATTTAGAAGTGCCTTGTTAACGAAGCAGCAATAAACATAGACGTGCCTATATCTGTTTGGGTGGCAGTTCTGGTTTTTTTAGGATATATTCCCAGTAGTGAAACTGCTGGGTCAAATGGTATTTCTATTTTCAACTTTTTGAAAAAGTACCACACAGCCTTCTATAGTGGTTGTTGCATTTTACACTCTCACCAACAGTGAATAAGGGTTCCAGTTTCTCCACAACCTCGTCAGCATTTGTTATTTGCTGCTCTGTTGAATTTTGCTATTCTTACTGGGTAAGATGATATCTCATAGTTGTTTTGATTTGCATCCATCTTAGAGCTAGGGATTTTGCACATTTCTTCATGTGTTTATTTGCCATCTGAAATGTCTTCTTTAGTGAAGCGTCTGTTCATATCCTGTGCCCATTTTGCAACTGGGTTGTTTACCTTTATTTTGTTGTGGTGCTTGAGTATTTTATCAATTCTAGACATAAGTTCCTTATCAGACATGTCATTACCAAATATTTTTTCCCAGTCTGTGGTTTTCTTTTTGGCCCTGCTGGAGAAGTTTTTGGATGTGCATAGGGATTTGAGTCTTTATCCTCACCTGGTTGTAGGTTTTTCAGGATGCTTGGAAGACTGTTCATGTTGTGGATTAGGGCTTCTAGAGTTCTTCCAAGCTTTTATCTAATGAAGTTTATAGTCCTTGGTTTTAGTCCTAGGTCCTCAATTGACTTTGAGTTGGGTTTTGTGTATGGTGTGAGGTGTGGGTCTTGCTTGAGTTTTTTGCAGATAATTTTCCAATTTTACCAACATCATTTGTTAAAAAGGCTGTCATTTCCCCAATTGACTGATTTCATCTCCTTGTCAAAAATCAATTCACAATAGCAAAGAGTTGGAAACAACCCAAGTGCCCATCCACAAATGGATAGAGAAACTGCAGTATAGTCACACAATGGAATACTATGCAGCATTGAAAAACAAGAAACTTATGAAATATTATACAAAATGGGTGACCCTGGAGGACATTATGCTGAGTGAAATATCTCAATCACAAAAGGACAAATACTGCACAATGTCACTGTTATAAAACAGGACTGACATTGGGTTTGGGGGGAAACTAACAAAAGAGGGGGTAAATAATGTACACTGCATTGAAAAAGATGAGAGAGAGAATCGTTTAAAAGGGATATGTGATTACGTATTATTTGCATGGCAAAAGTTCAGAACAAGAGCAGTATAGTAAAGTGAACTGGGGTGGGGGGGATTGTAACAATGAAATAATTTTTTTTTCTTCTCAAAAAGAAAAATGAATTGGTGGGGGAGAAGTGGGCAGGGAGGAAAATGTTTAACAATGAAAGAATGGAAATCCAAGTTCTCTATAATCTTTCATTAAAATCTCAATTAAAACAAGAAACAGATTCAGAGATAATAACTGAGTAATCTAAAAAAAGGCTATGAGTAACAGAATCAAGTTTTAAAATCCAGAGGTCTCCACCTCTGTACTCCAAAGATGCTAGTCAGATGGTTTCTCCTAGGCATGATAATGAGACCACTAGCCTTTGCTTGGATGAGAAGATCCAATTATAATAAAATTAGCCTTTAAAAAAGAGTGTAGAATTCTATGTAGAATGTTCTATTTCATTTGAATTTCATGTTGCCACATCAGGAGCTATTTTCATTATCCCATTTATAATCAAAAGCTTTCAAGAAAAAGTTATCCTTAATGAAATACTTCTGTGTATCAAAGATGACATGTTTTATAAGCTAGATGATATAAAATAAATTATCTCAGTATTGCTTTGGATTTATTATGAGATACCTTTCTGAATTATCTTCTGAAAGAGAAAATAACACATGTGTGAACAATGTACATGTGAACTGAATTTCAATGGCTAAGCATTATTTCCTTTCCCCAATAAATAAAATAAAACCAAAAAGACCTTTAAGAGAGAGGAAAAAAGTGCATTGTTTAGCTTTGAAAAAATATTCTCACTCCTTTATTGGTTCTGCCTTAATTCTACAGTGGTCACTATTGTTGCATGCCATCAACCAACCCATAGCTGACCTTTCAAAAGGGAGCTCTGGTCGCCTAGTGGCAAGAAGCTACACTGCAATCCCAAAGGCATGTGGTTCAAGCTGCTCTGCAGGAGAAAGATAGGCAAGCTCTACCAGTGAGTTTAACTGCCTCTGAAAACCCACCAGCGGATCAGCTATGGGTTGGTTCCAACTCTACAGTACACAAAACAACAACACAAACGGAATGGGAGGAGACCGATCCTCCTCCTGCCTCTGCAGAATAGCTGATGGATTCAAACAGTGCGCCTTTGGGACTGCAGCACAGCTTCTTACCACTTTTCTATGTTACATGATCCACATGTACATGAAATGAATGAGAGGTTTTTTAGGATGTTGTACGTGTCAGTCAGGTGAAGCTTAAATCTGCTCTACTGATATCTATGTATTGGTCTGTCTTATCAGTTACAAAGAGAGCTTTGTTAAACTTTCCCACTAAGCCTGTGAACTTTTCATCCTGTTTCTATTTTCAATTTTGCCAGTATTTACACTATGTATTCTCAGGCGGTACCCATGGAGTGGAACATTTTAGACAATAAATAATTAAAAAAACAAAACTAGAGTAAACTATATACAACAGCAACCACTCTCACTACATCTCTTGCCTTCCTTATTTTTCTCCATTTGTTATAGCCATCTGCTGCTGTTACTGGGTACTGTTGAGTCAGAACTGACCCAGAGCTGATACTCCAGCAGGGCTTTCAGGGACAGTAAATTGCATGGGAGGAGATTATCCATCTTTCTCTCATGGAGCAGCTGGTGGATTTGAACCATGTGCCTTTGAGATTACAGTCCCACTTCTTATCATGCAGCCACCAGAACTCCCTAACAAGCTATCTGACAAGCTATATTCAGTCTGTGCCTAGTACATTCCCCAGCAAATAATAGGCACTCAAGCAATAACTGGTGGGCCAGATTAATGCTGATGTACTCCTTTTTAACTGTGTATTACTCACTACCATTTCAATATCCAAAGTTGAGAAATTCAATTTCCTGCTGTACCAGACTGAGCATCATCCGTATCACTCGAACAGCGTGCCACTGAGTAGATTCTGTCTCATCGCAACTTTAAATAACAGAGCAGAACTGATCCCTAGACAGCAGCGAGTGAAAAAAGGAAGCCCACCAATGCAATGGATTGGTCAGAGGCTGTAACAACGGGTTCAGGCAGAGTCAAGATTTTGAGGATGGTCCAGGGCAGGGCTGGGCAAGGTTCCACTGGGCTGAACACTGATTTGTTGCGTATCTGAGGCAACTCAACTATAACAACAGGAGTAACAATCTTCACAGAGGCAGATTTCCAAAGTCTTTTCTCATTCAGAGCTGGTGGATTTGAACAACTTACTTTTCACTCAGGAGAGAGCTGAGTGTGCAGGCTTGTTAAGCATCATGCCCTACACTACAGTTTTTCAAAGTTTCTTAGATGGACATAAAACAGTAGAGCTGCAATGTGTCACACTGTGAGGGACCACCACTCATTTTTTTCTTGTGGTTTTTTTTAACTATTATTTTTTATATCATAAATTATAATTGAAAGAAAAAATTAGTTTATTCAAACTAATTCCTTTGCAAATAAAAACATTTTCTAATGAAACATTTTAAATCTAAAAGTACCTTATGAAACTTGTAATATACACATGCACAAAAGTTGCCATCAAATACTGACAGTCAAATCTGTCCATTATCCCTCCATGTCCAGGAATGGTGTTTGCAAAATCCTTCAAAAAACAAACAAACAAACATATTAGCAATTTTTTTAAAAAAGAAAAAAAAGTCATAAAATTTCTATCTGTGCATCAATTGGTCAAGTTTCTTAGTAATTCTGCATTTACTGGTACTTTTCTTCCTCAGATTTCTTTCTTAGGGCTCATTTCCCTCCTTCTCCCCGCTCTCTGATAAAATGCCACCTCCTCAGAAAGTCTTCCTCCGACACAGTATTCAATCTTAACTTAGTAAAGCCATGTGAGGAGCCTGAGACAAAGGGGAGTGGAGATGAGTTGCTTTGTGGCAATTTACTTTAAACAAAACAGGAATAATTTTAAGTATCTGAAAAAGTAGTCTAACTTTAAGGATCAGCAAACTTTGGTCCACAGACAAAATACAGTCCACCATCTATTTTTTAAATAAAGCTTAATTAGAACACTGCCCTACTCATTCATTGTTTATGAAGAATTACATGCTACAATGGCAGAGTTCATAGTTCAGTGGTTGCAAGAGAGTGTGTGGTCTGCAAATTCTAAATATAATTACAACCTGGTTCTTTATATGAGTTTGCTGATCTCTAATCTACAATAAAGTACAATTACATAAAGGCTCTCCTCTATATGCTTTCACATGAGACCAAACTTTTATCAGGCCATGGATGGAGTCTTTTATAAACACTTGAATGGACCAAGGTTAAGCATATGTTCCATAAAATAGGAGACAATCATACTGACATTTATGTGTCAACATAAAGTGACATATGCCAATTCTACAAAAGCAAAAGACTGATATGACACTTTTAAATGTATTAACACAGGATGACCAAAACTCAGCCAAAAAAAAAAAGTACACTCAAACCAAGTAGAAAGCATTTCTGTAAAGCTGAAACAGATGCAAATTCTTTTAATACCTTTTGACTAGGAATTGACGATGTGTGAACAGCGGAGAAGCAAACTAACTAAATTACATTCTCTAAACATATTCTCAAATAATGAAACACACCTTGATTTTAAAAGCTCTTTTGAATCCACTGGCAAAAAAGCCTCCAAATGGGCCAATTAAAGATGCGAACGATGAGAGAGCAATGCTGTGTATCTGGAAAGGATACAAGCTCACGGTTTCCTGGAGAGGGGAAAAAGGAGCAAAGCTGACACAGAAGAAAGGAATGACTGCATGAAAATTGTACTTGAGCTTGCTACCAAATTTAAGACCCAGATTACCAACAGTAAGTGTTGTTTTATTTTTTTATAAAGTTTAAAAAACCACAAGGGACAAATATATGATAAATATCACAAAAATGGAGGATTCTGCAATCAAACTATTTTGTATATTCTTTGTTCTTTCTCCACTTTTAATACACTAAAAGACAAAGTGTAAACAGTGCAAATGGGTGAGGCTCAAAAAGCAAGATAAGAAAAACCCATTTCTGAATCTTTAGCTAAACAAAAGCCTAGTTCTTCATCAAAGACTGAAGAGACATCAAAAACTCTTTAGAAGCAGATAGATAGCTTGAATATTGGAAAAAAGGGGGGGGGGGGGGAGAGAGAAAACATTGGGTAATTAAAGACAAATAATTTGTTGGTTAAACTTACAAATTTTAGTTACAAATAAAATATTGAGAGACAGTGTGTGTGTGTCAGAGAGAGAGAGAGACAGAGACAGAGAGGAAGAGAGAGAGAGTTTGTGCTTATGTTAAAAAGAGAGACCGGTCCATTGTGTATGCATTTCACCACCCTTCAGAGACAGCCTTCAAAAGATACCTTCACATAGCAAAAATGAGCTTTAGGAAGGGAAATTAATTTTAAGAAGCAGTACCTCTCTGTACTAGTAAATATCTAAGGGGAAAAAAAGAAACCAAAACAAAAACCCCAAACAAACACAACCCAATAAAACAAACAAAATCCTCCAAGAAAACTTTGAATTGAAAATTCAAGTTTCAAACTGAGTCAATTCACACCAGTTATACTTGAAATTATTCATTCCAATTCATCTGAATTGTATTTTCAAAACTAGTGCACATATTTTCAATACTGGTTCCAAGTAGATATTTGGCTTGGAATACTATTTATTTTATTGTTAAGAGAGAGACATCAAGAGGGGATAGAAGTTATTGACAGTAGACACTAAAACACTTTCTAATGGATTTTGTATAAATATTTTAATTCCATTTTTAAATTAAACTGAATCTTCAGGAAGTTTAGAGCATCCCTAATTCATTGCCAAATTTTACCTGTCTCATTACTGCCTGCAGAAAGAGAGGAAGGGAGTAATTGTGAAGCTGGAAAAGTTCTGATGGTTCACATTCTGTAACAAAGGAATTTACATCACTTCGGTATTCCACTGGACAGACAAAGTACTGATATTTCGATAACACGTAGGCAGCCTAAATAACAAAGCAAGAGGTCATAAAATATTAACATATATATACATGTAGGATAGGCATACATACACACACACTCTCCTCAGCTGTATCTCAGAAAAGCTGGGATAGAATGTCAGGTTTTTAGTATTAACATTCTGTGATGTATATATTTTCAAATTTTTATGGTTATAACTGCCCCAGTAAAAATATGAAAAACCTTTAGGAAAATGAAAGGTCTTTGAAATCTCTGTGATTCCCCCAAAAAAGGACAGGGGAGAGAGGGGAGTTGATAGGAACACTTTTAGACAAGCCTGTAGCAAGATTATATTTTTTAAAACACACATATAATTAATGTTATCAGCAGCTAACAATTTTAAACACACAAGTAAACACAGAAGTTTATCGCTTCTATTAATTTCACCAGTTCATAAAAAACTAAAGTTAGAAAAATCCAAACCCATTTTTCTCAAGACAATGGACTCATATTGATCCTTTATCAGGTTTCTGAGTCTATAAACATTTGTTCAAAGAGATCATTCAGCAAAGAGCTGCTGATGGATTCAAACCACTGGTCTTTCAGTTAGAAGCTCAATATGTGATGTTACACAACATGAGAGCTCATTCTTAAATACCTCAATCAGTCCCAACCCGTGGTCATCGAATCAATTCTAATTCTTGAGAACTCTCCATCAGGTGTTCTGAAGTTGTAAATGTTTATGGAAGGATATTGCCTCACCCCTCTCCTATGTGTGGCTGATGGATTTGAACCACTGAACTATCAGTTAGCTCCCCAACCCATAATTAATCATACCAACTTTTGAATAAGGGACTCATGATTAAAAGAAAAACAAAAAACCAAGAAAATGGTACAAAATAAACTTGTTGTTACAAAACCTCATAAATCAAAAACAAAACCTTTTGGTTGTTGAATAGATTCTGACTCTTAGGGACCCTATAAGATAAAAAAGTAGACCTGCCTCATAGGATTCCCAAGACTGTGTTTACACAAGACAACTACCACATCTTTCTCTTACGGAGCAGCTGAAAGTTTCAAACTGACAATGTTTTTGGTTAGCAGTCAAGTGTTTAACTGCTACACCACCAGGACTCCCTAATAGAGAATAAGACAAAAGACAAAGAGCATTACTTTTCTTTACCAACACAAAAAACACTAATTATTCTTTCCCTGGCCATGTCCACTTCATATTTAGAGCTGATAATGCTGCATACCATCGATTCAGAACTAATCCCATAGCTGAACCTCCAGAGGCTTTTCACAGGCAGTAATCACACGGAAGGAGACTGCTCAGCCAGTGGATTCGAACCGCATGCCTTCAGGATTGTAGGGAAGATTCTTATGGTTAGGTCCCTAGAGCTCCCTATTTTTAGAACTAGCAGTCCACAAACAGGGAAGTAGAAGACATTCTCTTAAAATATTTACATTTCTAGATAACATTTTTCTAGCAGCCATTATTTCACTAACGAGTACTGTGGTGCAGTGCATAGTGTGTTGTGGTACAAATTCACCAGTTGCTCCTTGGGAAAAAGATGGGCAGTTTCCTCCTATTGAGATTTATAGCCTCAGGAACCCAGCAGACGAGTCATGGTAAGTCAGAGATGACTGGCTAATACTGGGGAGCAGGCAGATTATTTTGCTTAAAAATGTGAATTGGACATACATTGATTTTTGTCCCTAAACAATCAGATTACTAAAGATCATTTATCAGAAAATGTTATCTCCAACCCCATTATTTTGTCCATAAATTCCATCCTTATGGCATTGAGTCAAAAAGGAATCATAGTTGAGCCTCCAGTGGTTTCCAAAGCTGTAAATCACATGGGAAAAGATACTCCTCTTTCTCCTGGGAAGCCACCAGTGGATTTGACCCGCCAGAGAGGCCTCATCTTTTAGTTAGTAGTACCTTTCCCTACAGACTATGCCAATAGAGCTCACCTATGGAGTAGCCCTTAATTACTTCCAATGATGTGACTAGTCCTATCTCAAAAAAAAATCTCATCTCATTGTTGTTCACTCAGCACCAACTCATTATCTGGCTTTCTAGTGGGTTTTCAGAGGCTGTAAATCACATAGGAAGACACTGCCCATCATTCTCCCAAGGAGTGACAGGGGGAACTGACCAGCCAGAGAAGCAATGCAAAACTCCCCAGAGACTGCCATCAGAGCTGCTAAGTATTCCCACATACCAAATCAGTGTCATTCTATTCAACATAAAAATGTTCACATTATTCTAGGTTTGTATTGTACAAACACTGAATGGGACTTGGATTCCATTTTCTTATTCCATCTACCAATTACTATCTCACCAGTATTTTATCACATAGTCTCTGGAGTAGTTTTATGTCAGATTTTATTGGAATTTTTTTTTTCATTGAAAACAAAGAAAACTCATAAACTAAACAGAATTAGGATGGTTTTCCCATCCACAAACATTGTACATTGTATGCATTCTGACTCTCAAACTTCATGTTCCTCATTATTCTATAGTATGAATAAACAGTACAGACTAGAACACTACAATGAGACTCATAAGTCAGGCACTAGGCTCATAAAAAATGTATACTTTCTAACAAATATTTTCATTTATGTATAGTGAGCTCTAGTGGTCTAGTGATAAAAAATTGCACTGCAATCCCAAAGGGATGCAGTGTTCATGGCCACCAGCTGCTCCAAAGGAGAAGGGTGGACAATTTCCTCTCGTGTGATTTACTGTCTCTGAAAACCAGCTGGAGGGTCAGCTAAAGGGTAGGTTCTGACTTGACAGTACACAACAACAACCTGCATCTTATATCCATCTATTTTATTGTATCTTTTGTTGTTAAGTACCACTGAGTCGGAGCTGACCAATAGCTGAACCTCCAGCAGTCTTCAGAGGCAGTAAATCGCACGAGGTTGCCTATTCTTTTCCGCAAAGCCGCTGGTAGATTTCAACTGCATGCTTTCAGGATTGCAGAGCAGCTTCTTACCGCTAGGCCACCAAAGCTCCCAATTTATACTCTTAGAGACACTCAATAAACACCAACTTTTAATAAAAAGTGTAAATTCCTTAACTGTAAGCAAATTTTAATAGCACCAACAACATCCAAAGGAGCAGTGATGTCTCAGTGGATTAAGAGTCAGGCTGCTAAACAAAATGTCAGAAGATCAAAGCTATCAACTGCTCCATGGGTAAAAGATAAGGTAGTCTGCTTCTTTAAATAATTACGTCTCTGGAAGCTCTAGGTGGCAGATTCTATTCTATCCTATAGGGACACTATGTGCTGGAATCAACTCAACAGCAGTGGGTTGACAGTAATATCTGTTACTTATGATTCAACTGGAACACTGATTATTTAGCATTGACAAACTTTTCCTGCACTTTGGGCTCACAACAGTAACCACCCACTAAGTCAAATGGCCATGTGTGTTAATATAGAGTTCCTCTATATTATTTGCAATCCCAATCCCTGTGTTCTCCACAAGGTAGAACACTATTAGAAACTTCCAAGGCACAACAGCACAGCACTGGTCTGAACCTGGCAGCATGTTAGTCACCTTTCCCGGTCCGGGGGTCTAGGATAAGGCTGGGCGGAGACTCTGCCCAAGGTGCTCAGTTCTTCCCAATGTGGCATGAGAGTAAGTACTACCGGAGTATATGTTTATAATAGACAAATAAACGTGCTACCATTTAAAAAATATAAAAAAAAATCTTAGGAAAACTCACAATGAATCCAAACACGACTGTGGAAAAAAACCCACCAATGAATCCTTCCCACGTCTTCTTAGGAGACAACTGAAAGAGATCAAAGAAAGTTTAAAAAAGTTACTGCACTTACCACACACACACACACACCCCTTCTCTTCAAGGAGTTCCCACAATTATTGGTCCCTTTCTTGTTACTTTTTTTTTTACTATAATAACTTCATAATCTTATTTTCTTCATCTCATAATCCTGATTTACTTATTCAAATGCCTGTAATAATAATAATAATAAAATAATAATACCTAATGCATTGCAGGCCCAACATTTGACAAGGTATGGAAAAGCATTTTGTTTCTGCTAAAGAATCGAAACTTTTCTTCATTTTTCAACATATTATACAAAAAACCTCGGCCAGGTTCAAATTGTCTTCCTGTCAAACATTCTTCTAGGTGGTATAGCACTGGTCTGTGCGTTGCTGTACAGAGGTAACTCGTGGTTGCTGTGATGCTGAAGACTGTGACAGTGATGTGCCAATCGTGGTAATGGGTACCCGTGGTGGACAGTGTTGGCTGGAGCTTTCCGACTAAATCAAGCCTGGAAGCAGGAGCGGCATCCACTTCCGACATGGCTTGCCTCTGGAAACTCTATGTATGAACAATGCTCAGGCTGTTCGTTCATAGGTCACTATGAATCGTCTATGACTCGATGGCATTAAACAACAACATACAAAAAATAGACCTTGTTATGCTTGGTAAAATATATTATTGTTGTTGATTGCCTCTGAGTTGAGCACAACTCATAGCAAACCTATGAACAAAAGAAAGGCTTGAAGCCCCTTCTTTAACTATCGACATTTATCAAAGTTCATAGAGTTTCCAGAGGCATGTTGTTTAGGAAGTGGATGCCACTCCTGCTTCCAAAAAATATTATTTATTATTATTCAAAAAAATAGCCTCTAATATTGCATATTCTCTACAGTGCTCAACTATCCTGCTGCCTGCCTTTGGTCATAATCTGTATCTGATTCTGTGTAGAAAGGAACATTCTTCTAAGAATAGATATTATTTTGGATTCAAAGTACTGTTCCCCCAGTCAATAAGGTATTCAAGGAAAGAAATATGGAGGGTAATTTGGAACCTGGTGATGTAGGGGAAGACATTAAGACTGACGAGTGGACAGTGAGTGGTAAGGCTCTGCTGTTGTTGTTAAGTGCCGTCGAGTTGTAGGTGACTCATAGCGACCCTATGAATGAAAGACCTGTACACTTGTATAACTTTCTTTGTTTCTCCAAGTTCATAGGGTTTCCAGAGGCAAGCTATTTTAGAAGTGGATGCCACTCCTGCTTCCAAGCTTGTTTTAATCGGGGAGCTCCACCAAACACTGTCCACCATGGGTGACCAATATCACATTAGGCACATCAGGGTCACAGTGTTCAGTATCACAGCAACCACAAGTTACCTATGTACAGCAAATTGATAGACCAGTGCTATACCACCTAGAAGAATGTTTGAGCAAAACAATTAAAAGCAGGTCCAAGGGCCACAGGTCCAAGGGTCGCAGGTCCAAGTGCTGCAGGTCCAAGGGCCATAGGCCAAAGATCATTTAAAAATTCCAGCATGTCCACATGCTGGTGGACTGTTCTGGTGACCATGGATGACTTTTGTGAGGTACATGGCAGTTGAAAAAAGGAGAGAGATGACAAGTATCAGAGGTATGCTTCTAAGACACAGATAAGCTCTTTACAGAGCTCCTGAACTGGTGTGCTTTTGGCTATAAAGCCCAAAGTCAGAAGAGTTAATAGAAATTATTTCTTGATAAATCTTGTAAAAATCTTGATAAATCTATAGAAAAACTCACTCACTCCTAGTGAAATGGAACCAACTCATAGCTAACCCTCTGGCACGTTTCTGAGGCTGTAAATAACCTGGGAGTTGATTGTTCATCTTTCTTCTGAGGAGCAGCTGGTAGATATGAACCCTAACAAAAGCACAGCCTCTGGGTCAGCAGTTCAACTCTTTATAGACTATGCCACCAGAGAAAGGACAAATATATCTTCTCCAAGAACACTTCAAAATTACCACCATAAAGTCATCTTAGACTAAACCTCAAACATACCTGCTATTTTAAATTCACCATCATATGAACATGGAAACAGTCCAGCTGTCCAACCATAAATGACTGGATTGAGAAATCACGGTACATTCACACAATGGAATACTATACAGCACGCAGGAGCAATGATTTTGTAAATCATTACCTAACTTGGAAGGGATTGGAGAGCATAATGCTGAGTGAACTAACTCAGTCCCACTAGTACAAAGACTGTATAAAACAGTTATTGTAGAAGGAATATAAGGATCCAAGGCGGGGAGGAGTGGAAGCAAAAGGATGAGAATGTCTGTGGGTGGGGGTTAATCATGGTATTGTACAATTTGATGAATGGAGGGGGTGAGGGAAATTGGAAGAATCTGTTCTGGAAAATAATGTATTCGAATTTTTTAAATAAACTAGTATAATGATAAAAAAAGGAAAAAAACCCTGCTATTTTGAAGATAGTTTATAAAATTGTTTTATATATCATATTGATTTTGGGTTTAAAATGTTCAATTATATCTGGTACTCAGGACTACCACAAGTGAGTTCGCTAGGTGCCAATTGGAAGTATTATATAAAAATACTATATATCATCCAAAGGTGTAGTTCAAATCCAACAGATTCTCTGCTGAAGGAAGAGGAGCAATCTCCTCTTATGACAATCAGATTTGACTAGATGGCATACAACAACAACAACATCAGCCCTCGACACAAGGGTTTGTAAAAAAAAAGGAAGAAAAAGAAATAAGGAAGATAATAGAAAGAGGAATGAAACAAATAAAAAGAAAGGAAAAAAAATACTATATAATTAATCCAAATTTGTAAATTCACTAAAAAGATACCTTCAAAATAAGACACATTCTTCAGCACTGAAAAATAAGGAACTGGTAAAACATTACACAACATGGGTGACCCTGGAAGACATCATGCTGAGTGAAATATCTCAAGTCACAAAAAGACAAATACTGCATTGCATAATACTACTGTTATAAAACAGGACTGACATGGAGGATTGGGGGAAACTAGGAAAAGAGGGTATAGACAACTGCACTGGAACAGATGAAGGAAAGAACTGTATAAAAGAAATACATTATTAGGCATTATCTGTATGACAATAGTACAGAATAAGAGGTGTACTGAAAAGTGGATTGGGGATGGTAGGAGGGAGAGGACATTGTGCAACAATGAATGAACCTTCCCCCTCCCATTAAAAAAGAGAACTGGGATGGGGGTGGGGAGGAAAATGTGCAAAAATGAATGAATGAAAATCCAACTTTTCTCTAAACTTTTGTTAAAATCACAATTAAAAAAAAACACACCAAAAAAAAAAAAGTCAGACACATTCTTAAACAGCTATAACAACCTCTCAGAAGGTTTTCTAGTCTAAAATATTCAGCCTATATAGAGTCTTTTTATTATTTAATCAGTAGCTCTTGTGCTATTGATGCATTAAAACATTTTGAAAGTATAAAATTTACTTGCCAGGATGCCTACAATTCAGTCTGATTGTACCCCCACAGGGTTTAGAGTAGATGGAAGGCTTTTGAGGACAGGGAATTGATGCATTTTTCTGCAATATTCAGTTAACCTCATGTAAGTTTGAACAGGGAGGAGATCTTACAGATGACTCACTGTCTCAGATCTTCCAAAATCAATCTTCATACAGTAATATTTAAATGCTGTATGTCATTGAGTCAGAACAAATTCATAGCTGACCCTTTAGTAGGTTTTCAGAGGGAGCAACTTGCACAGGTGGAGACTGCCCTTCCTTCTCCTTCAGAGTAGCTGGTGGATTCAAACTGCATGCCTTTGGGAATGCAGTGCAGTTTCTTACCAGTAGGCTAGCTGAGCTCCCAATTAAAACAGTCCATGTTATTAGAGAGAAAATTATCAAGGACTTTAACCACTATGTACACGGAGTGAATCCTATCTGGAATCTTGACATAAAAAGTTTTAAAAAAAAATCAGTTCAAGAAAACAATTTGCTTTCTGTGAGAAATTGGTTTGTTTCTTCCTAATAAAAGAACTGTAGGACTTATTTCCTTCTTTGTCTTATTGACTATAAACAGAAACCGGCTTAGGGCAAAACAGTAGATATTGTCTGAGTATGTATATTGTCCTATTTCATGGGCAAAACAGTAGATATTGTCTGAGTATGTATATTGTCCTATTTCATCCGAACTTTTAATTATTGCTTATATGCTATCAGTATTGTATTGTAGAAACTCATTATGTTGTTTGAAATGAGTTTGGGTGTCCAAGTCTTATCAATGGAACAAGAGTATGTGAAAATAGTTTAACTTTTCAAAAACCTGCCAGGAGTGAGAACAGATACAAAGACAGCTTGCAGGGAGAGTCAAGAATAAGCTTATAGACTATTCTCTCCCCCATAGACTTCAATGCCATAAACATATTTCATCCAGTTTTTCTCAGTCTTACCCCC